CAAACTCCTTGTGCAGATGAATATAGAAAGAATATGCATAAAGGAGTGAGAGATTGCGAGAAATCTAGACAAAAGCACCTATAAGGAAATGACCTCAAGATTGAAGAGAACCAAAAAGTCAATAACTGCTTGAAAATATTTCTCACCTTACAAGAAATTGATTAGGAGATGAATACCCACACTAATGAATGCAAACACCTCACCTGCACAAAGGCACACTTCAATTTGACAGTATGTAGATAGCTTTCGAAAGACCTGAAAATCAGCACCTTGGCCGAGTGCCAAAACAACATAGTCAAAATACCTGGAAAACCTGTATGGCAAGCTCTCTAGTCGGTACCAACACCAGAATTCGTGTGCATGAACGAGCATTAGATCGATACAAAAGTCGTTCGAGGATGGGTAGTACAAAAGCAGCTGTCTTTCCAGTTCCTGTGGCCGCACATGCGCATATGTCCTTGCCAGCCAGTGCAACTGGTATGCAAGCGCTTTGAATAGGAGTAGGTTCGGTATAACCAGCAGCAGCAATTGCCTAGAACACAATAATGAAGAAATTGGATTGGATGAACATCAAAGCCCTCACCTTCAGCATTGGTCGTGACAAATTCATTTGTTCAAAAGTGATAGAATCTGATACGTCCATGGCCTCGTCGAAAAAGTCATCTTGCTTTTGCGTACTTCTTCGACCGGTCTTCTTCTTCTCGCGCAACCTATCTGAATACCAAATTCTGTTTTTGATGTTTTTATGCATAAATTCCATTAATTCAGTATGCACATCCTGATCTAGCGCAACTGCGTTGGCAGATAGGAATCGTGCCTGGGAAACACTCTCATGGGTACGCGCCTCGCAGATTAGCTGCGTGCGCGATCCTAAGACACCACACATACTTCGGGCAGATGCAGTCGCGACGCGATGTGGCACTTCGTCAGATGTCTTCAAAACCAACACTGATGAACTGCACCGGTAAGATCTCCTACTTCGTTACATTTGAAGGCAGCGTCCAAGCAAATCTGGACATATGGGGACC